CAATCAGATAAATAGTTATTAAATAAATATATACAAAAAATAAGTTAAATAGTTAAACATATAGTTAAAAAGTTATTAGATAAATGTATATACAAAAAATAAGTTCAATAGATATTAAATAAATACATACAAAACCATTTCTTCAAATTCATTACAATCAGATAAATAGTTATTAAATAAACATATACAAAAAAATAATGTTAAATAGTTAAACATATATAAAACCATTTATACAGATGAATTACATTAAGTTAAGTAGTTAAATAAATATATACAAAAAATAAGTTAAATAGTTAAATATATACAAAAAACAAGTTAAATAGTTAAATATATACAAAAAACAAGTTAAATAGTTAAACATATACAAAAAATAAGTTAAATAGTTATTAAATAAATATATGTACAAAAAATAAGTTCAATAGATATTAAATAACTACATACAAAACCACTTCTTCAAATTAGTTACAATCAGATAAATAGTTATTAAATAGATGTATACAAAAAATAAGTTAAATAGTTAAACATATATTAAACCATTTATACAGATAAATTACAGTAAGTTAACTAGTTATTAAATAAATATATACAAAAAATAAGTTAAATAGTTATTAAATAATTACATACAAAAAAAAGTTAAATAGTTATTAGATAAATATATATACAAAAAATAAGTTAAATAGTTATTAAATAAATATATACAAAAAAATAAGTTAAATAGTTAATAAATAAATATATATACACGGCAATAAATTAAGCTTGGCGGTGCGGCGGTGCAGCGGTGCAGGCGACAGCGACTGCTTATGGAAAACTTGACCCCGTCCTGTGATAATGATGGTCAGGTGAAGGTGGCTACAACCAAAATTGGGATAATTAATACAGAAATTAAATAGAGGAATGCATAATATTTCATTTTCTCCACACCTTAATTCGGTCCTAACATTTTAATGTTTTTAGACCACCAGTCTTCCAATTGTTAATCTTTTCTTATGCTTTTAAATCAGTCCTTATATTTAGATTGCCCAAAATCGCCTTAATTCCATAGAAACGTTACAAAATTTCATGTAACTAAAACTTACAACGGGGCCGTCGCTGTCGCTCTCAGAGGGTGCTCTGGACGGCGGAGACTGGAGGTCACTGTCAGCGTCTGGGGTTTCATTTAAGGGTTGGCTAGACACCTGCAATGAGAAGTAGTATTTCAAAATGTCTTTAGGTACAAGCAAATTCATCATTAATTTCTTTTCAGAAGCAACGTTTCAGTACTACAATATAGAGGATAGAAACGACCCTCCGCATCACTTAATGTGGATATTTTACCTTGTAGAGTTGGTTTATTTTCTCCCAGACGCCAACTCGCTCCTTCTTCTGGCTCGCCTTATCGTAATAGCGATCCGCCGTCCTAGGGTTGTGGGCCATATGCTTGGCGAGCACCCTCTGCTGCTGGCGGTCTCCTCCAGCGTCTCGTAGCGTGGAGACCGCCATCTTCCTGCATAACGTGGCCGTGAGGGGTGGCAGGACTTTCCCGATGTTGCTGGCATGTTTCTGCCACTCCCTCTTGACGGCCTTGGCCATGGTCTAGAAAACAAACAAAAGAATTAAACTGTGGTCCCTTTCTCAGAGCCTGATTTTACTTTCAAAGCAGTGCGTTTTTTACATGACACAAATTGGGATAACATACATACGATAACTAAATCAGAAATTGCGCAGCCTTTGCCTGTAACTTTCTAAACCACTCTCATGAAAAGTGCTTTGGTCGATATGTTTTATATGCAAGGTAGAAAGAGAGGGGCTTTTTAAACATGGTTTGTCAACACTCACCGTCGAGGAGAGCTTTTTGCCTTTGTCGGTGGTGAAGACCTGCTCCAACCCACCGTCAATGCTCCCCTTGGCCACGTATGCTTTCAGGTCCTGAATGAGGGACGTTGTCACCAGCAATGGGCATTCCTTCCCCGACCGAGCCTCTTTGTGGTCGTAAATCTGTGAACAGAAAAGTAGTTCAATATTAAGAAAAATGATTGCAATCACATTCTGCATTTACTCGAGTTGTTTACTTTTCTTGTAAAAGTTATTTAAGAAGAGTTAGCATAACTTAAAATCGTATATCATCAAAGGTAATTCAGTGGGTTCTTAAAATGTATGAGATTGTTCAGTTGTATACCTTCAGCTCGGTCGGTTCCGGACCAGCGGTCTGGGCACGCTGAAGCTCCCTGCGCTCCAGGTTGGCCAGATCTCCAGACCGCTTCCCATTGGTGATGAACAGCTGAACCAGCAGCCCGTCCCTCGCCTCACAGCTATCCATCCGGCTGAGAGGTGCATCCTTCGCTAGGATGGCATGCACCCTCTTCGGACGGGTACCTGTGAGGTAGGACCCGAACATGTCAGGCGTGAGGTCCAGACCCGTCTTTCCCTCACGCCCTCTGTCAAAGAAAGGAAAAAAGGTTAGTGTGAAATTTTCATGTTTGAAAAAAGTCCATTCGTTTTGAAATTTGCCACCTAATGGTCCATACAAAATAGGCCAGGTAAAAAGTGCATCAATATATAGGAATTTACACTATCGTATGTTTCTTAATTCGCACTTCAAGCAAGCAGCATGTCATATTTCTTTGCATGTCGTCACATCAATGAAGCAGCCTTTCATTTGAAATGTTACCTGATTACCGTTAACTAAACTTACTTCTGCACCGCCGCTCGATGGACGTCATCCTCCAGGGACCGGGCAATTAGGCGCAGGGAATTTCGTAGAGTTTGAAGGAACCCTACCTGGACCTTCAACTGGGCCTGCCACTTGAAGGACCCAGACAGGAACTCTACGAAATTCCCTAAGGAGCACAAGTAGACCTTGACTGTTTCAGGTTTCAGTCTGAAAGTAAAGGGAAAAAAGTGAATAAACCTGACAGTGTACATGTAGAATACGAACCTAATATTCCATACATGATTCTTATAATTGTCATACAGGCATTTTTTTAAACATCGGGCTGTACTCAAAACCTGGTCAGTTTTATAAAGTCGTTGCTGCTGGACTACCTTTCTTACCATAGGTGATCATTCGGATTGATGTTGAATGAAAAGAAGCTTACCTCAGTATCATGCGATCTACTAGTGCTCCCTTCGACCCAATGGTCTCCACCGCTTTGAGCGTGTCCCTGCTGAGACCATTGGGCATGAACGCCCTGACCGCAGTTGAATGACTAGCCGTGGTTTTGTCGCTCAGCTTGCGGCCAGTTAGCCGGTCCTGGCACTTGTTCCTGTAATAAATTGACACCTTCATTCTAATACTGTAAAAATTACACATTCTGTAGGTTGTTTCTGTATAAGTAATTTTCGGTCCTAAAATTTGGCTCACACTATATCGACTCGACAGGTCGATAATCTGTGAGCCAATTTTTAGGACCGAAATCAGTTGATGCTCAACTCGATATAAATTTGTTGTTCCTTATTATTTTTAAAAGATATTTTGCCACAATGCATAGAATAGCATATTGAACAGTTTAACGTAGTGTAACCTTCATTCTAATACAAAGTAATCAATATCATTGACTCGTATGTCAAGTGATTTATATCGTCTCTCTTGGTATATAGTATTGATGAACATGATGCAAATAAACTCCATGTTCACTTTTGTGATGATACTATAAAAAGAACGCATTTTGTAGGTTGTTCTTGTTTAAGTTATTTCCGGTCCTAAAATTTGGCTCACATTTTATCGACTTGACAGGTCGATATTCTGTGAGCCAATTTTAAGGACCGAAATTCGTTGATGCTCAACTCGATATTATTTTGTTGTTCTTTAATATTTTACTTTGTATATATTATGAACATTTCGTATAGCTCAAACTAGTTCATCCATATTGTGACAATTTTCACAAGCACTGCTCTTTATATTTCATTTGACACTATTTTTGCGACTCTACCGGTCTTTCTCTGCGACCCTGTAAAATGGCAAATGAAGGAAGAGTTGAATTAGACACACCCTGTCTTTGCATACTTTTCGTGACTAATGACACGAATATCTTTACATTATATCTCAATGTGGAGTCTTTACTTACATATAATCGTCCAGGGCCTGGTCGAGGAATGTGGTTCTCACCTCAGCCCTTTCGAACAGGTTCCCAGCTGTCATCGCTGACAGCAACTGAGGTGAGCCCCGGATCATCTGGTGCTGGCGGATGAGGTGAAGGTCAAGGCGGACGATGGTTAAACCACATTCAGCCTCCGGACAGTCCAGTTTAGTATATTGACGGGGATTCCGGAGGACATGAATGTGGTTTTCCGCCTCGGCCTTCGTCATCTTGTGGAACTACAATGCAGAAATAAAAAAGAAAGTTATTTTGCTAATAGAAATAGTGTTTGGGAATTGTAAACAGGGAAATATTCTGACGACGAAATGTAAGCATAGATTATACGCTGACAAGTGTAAACCGGAGTTAATCCTCAGCATGAAACGTGACGAGCTTCGCGATCAATTCAATTAATTGCCTAAAAAACACTTGAAGACTTACTTGTCGCAGATGACGGGGGAGATTCCGCACCTCCTTGGCACAGTGCTCTAGAATGCAGGGGGAACTCGGATACACCTGTCAAGTGAAAAGCTAGAATATTGCTTTCTTATGAAATTGTCAGTCTGAGGCCGATAATTTGTGATCCAACTTTTAGGACCGAAATAGGTAAGTTAAAGCATCAGATGTGTGGTCTTACTTGTTTCAGGGGAACATCATAAAAGCTGTTCGTTCTGATCTGATCGTGGTCAAGCAAATAAAAATAGAACTTAGAATTACATAGCCTGACAGCGAGGCCGATTATTGTAAAACTGGAATCCAAATAGGATTTTACTGACCTTTTTACTGCTGCCCTCCTCCACCTGCTCCTCCTCACCGCCTGCCTCTTCTGTCTGATGTCAAAACAGTGAAAATAAATATTTTCCTCCTTATATAATATAATACAATTTTAGTAAATCGTACTGAACAACCTATCAAATGTTTAGGACATGCCGGTTTGTGCATTTTTTAAACATCATATACCTCAACAATCTTCCGCCTAAACGTTCCCTCTTCCTCTTCCTCCTCCCCATCCTCATCCTCATCATCCTTCAATAACCTCCTGTCACTCCGGCCTGGCTGCCATTCGTCTCCGCTTTCTATTAAAATATAATATCATCAATATCATTATGCCTTCTGTAACAATATTTCATTTCCTGTTCCTTACGTATGGTTGAACCTAAACTTCTTCAGTTTACCGTATCACAAGGACAGGCTTACTTACCTTCTATTTCTTCCTCCTGCTCTTCCTCCCCATCCTCTTCCTCCCTCTCCATCCTTTGGTCCTCCCTCTTCTCCTGCTGTTCCTCCCCATGCTCTTCATCCATCTCATCCTCTCTTGCCCCACTTTCGTTCACTCTTGTATCTATATACATGTATACATCATAAGACATTAATTTGCCTCTTATTTTAGAAAAATAATGTGGTGTTTTGATATTCTTATGCTATTTCATGTTCTGTCCTTATCTTTTTTATGCTCTTCGTTTTACTTGTATACTTACCCTTCTCTTCTTCTTCTTTTACCTCCGCCTCCTTCTCGTCCACCTATCAAGTGAAAGTTTGTTTCTCATCTACTATTAGTATTTAGTATTATTCCCTTACCAGCATTTATCATTATCATAACTCAGGGCAGTTGTTTAAAAGTAGGTATTTGCATTCGTTGGAGTCAGCTTTACAAGATACTACCATAACTTTACTGTAGACCAATATCCTGTTCAATACTCACCTCCATCTCCTCATTTTTCACACCACGTTCTGCCGCTCGTCTCGCCTGAGTAAAAGATAACATATTGAATGAATGATTTCCTCGATATATGATATCGTATTTTTCACAACTTTTGTCTTTGGTATAATATTGATGAACATGATGCAAATTACCTCCATGTTCATTTTTGTGATGGTACTATAAAAATTGCGCATCATGTAGGTTGTTCATGTAGAAGTTATTTTTGGTCCTAAAATTTTGCTCACAATATATCGATTTGACAGGTCGATAATCTGTGAGCCAATTTTAAGGACCGAAATTAGTTGATGCTCAACTCGATATAGATTTGTTGTTCTTTATTATTTTTGAAAGATCTTTTGCCACAATGCATAGAATAACAGATTGTACATTTTTGTTGACCTGTGGAAACTTACCAGATGATTTCAATGCTTACCTTCTTTCTCTCCTTTCTCTCCTTCCTCATAGTTCTCAGTCTCGCTGCCTCCTCCTCCTCCTCTCGCCTCCTCCTCCTCCTCCGCTTCTCCTTCTCCACCTTCCTCTCTCTTTTCATCTCCGCTTTCTGTTTGTCTTCCTTCTCCCTTTTCTGCTTTTCTTCTTCCTCCTTCATTTTCTTTGCCTCCAGCTCCTTTTTTTTCTGCCTCTTACTTAATATCTGTTAAAAGAACTTATATAGAACCATACTTGACAAAATTCTAATAAACATGAAACTAGGTGATCAACAATTCAGGACTATAACATTTGTTTGGATGGCACCAGATGCTTTCTCTATCCTACCCCAACTTCGCCTTCCTCAAGTGTGTCATGTCAATAATTCTACATCAGGTTTAGTCATACTGCTTTTACTTACGCCCTTTTCTTTGATCACTATATCCTTCGCGGCTTCTCTGATAATCTCTTCTAAAATCTGGAATCAAAATAGTCATTTTATTATTGGATTTGGGTGAACCTTATTGATGAGCACAACTACGGTTAATATCCTAGCAGGCACAAAGCTCACCTCCTCCGTTAGTCTTTAGCACAAATACGGTAAAGATCCTAGAAGGGACAAAACTTACCTCCTCCGCGACACGCTTCCTCTGTACTTTCCCTGCCTTCAGATTCTTTCGTTCGGTAAATCTTTTCGTCGGTGACGCCCTGACCTTTAAGTCATACTCTCTCTGCAATTTTGTACATATTTGATAAAAAAAAACACATGATTTTGTAGATTATAACTTAATCTTGTGAAATCCAATGCAAAAGCAACGAAACAGGTTTTATGACGTTATCTCGGACAAATGGAATAACCAAAATTTGTGGTCATGTTAAAGCTCACCTTCATTCTTCTTTTTTTTTGTCTCAAACTCTCTTCTTTTATATAGACTCCAACTATTCCTTCCTGCATTCAAATAGAAAAGTGCATACTTTATGTCATCAAGGTATTCCCATGTTGCTAAAAAGTTTCATGATAAACCTTAACATACAGCATTTCGATGCCGTTAGCGACATAACATGTACCGGTAGCGACATGTCGCTTCATAACCAGTATCGAGATACCGGTAGCGACATGTCGCTTCATAACCAGTATTGAGATACCGGTAGCGACATGTCGCTTCATAACCAGTAGTAAGAGGGGGGGAGGGGGGGATTTTTTGTTATTTTGTTTATTTTCGGACTTCATACCTATAATTCTGTACACATTTCTCTGTTAATAGCATGTGTAGATAATATTCTCACTTAATCATAGCATACATACAGTGTAATTTGATAACACAACAGGGAATCGCCTGTATTTAGCTATCTCCTCCAGCCACTTGGTGTGCACATTTCAACAATAAATTGTTAATAAATCAAAATATCAATTGGGAGTTTGGATATTTGCTGCATGATTCAACTCTTCGATCATTAATATACAATTCTGACTAATTTCAGAACGATCGGTGCAGCACTTATCATCTTACAGACCACAGGAAATTGCCTGTATTTACCAATCTCCTCTAGACCACGTGGTCAGCACATGGCATCAATAAATCGTTAATAAATCAAAATATCAATTCGGAGTTGGGGTATTCGCTGCATGATTCAATTCTACGATCATTAATATACAATTCTGCCAAATTTCAGAACAATCGGTGGAGTACTAACCATCTTTTACACCGATTGTATTTGCGAATTTGAAACTACGCGGCTGGCAACTTTCAATAACAAACTGCAAAGGGAGATCACTCTCAACTTTCGGATAACTATCAGATAGGGCAATATTTAATAAATTAATAAAAAGAGAACTAATGAACCGATTTGAATGCAATTTGCTGCAAAATAATCCCCTATTGACTGTTTAATTTTGTCTGTAACTACATCTCATCTGCGCATGCACTGAAAGGGGCGGTAACTCAATCACTTAGATATAAACTCAATAACTGAAATAAATTAATAAAAAGAGAACTGATGAACCGATTTGAATGCAGTTTGCTGCAAAATAATCCTCTATTAAATGTTTATTTTTGTCTGTAACTAAATCTCATCTGCACATGCGCTAAAAGGGGCGGTAACTCAATCACTTGATATAAACTGAATAACTGAAATAAATTAATAAAAAGAAAACTAACGAACCGATTTGAATGCAGTTTGCTGCAAAATAATCCTCTCACTTAAACATAGTATGCCTACAGTGTAATTTGATAACACAACAGGAAATCGCCTGTATTTAGCTATCTCCTCCAGACCACGTGGTGAGCACATTTCAACAATAAATCGTTAATAAATCAAAATATCAATTGGGAGTTGGGGTATTTGTTGCATGATTCAAATATTCGATCATTAATATACAATTCTGACCAATTTCAGAACGATCGGTGCAGCACTTACCATCTTACAGACCAAAGGAATTTGCCTGTATTTACCAATCTCCTCTAGACCACGTGGTCAGCACATGGCATCAATAAATCGTTAATAAATCAAAATATCAATTGGGAGTTGGGGTATTCGCTGCATGATTCAATTCTACGATCATTAATATACAATTCTGCCAAATTTCAGAACAATCGGTGGAATACTTACCATCTTTTACACCGATTGTATTTGCGAGTTTGAAATTGCGTGGATGCCAACTTTCAATAACAAATTGCAAAGGGAGATCACTCTCAACTTTCGGATAACTATCAGATAACTCTGTCAATAATTTAGGTAAGAGGGCAAATTTTAATAAATTAATAAAAAGAGAACTAATGAACCGATTTGAATGCAATTTGCTGCAAAATAATCCCTTATTGACTGTTTAATTTTGTCTGTAACTACATCTCATCTGCGCATGCACTGAAAGGGGCCGTAACTCAATCACTTAGATTTAAACCGAATAAATGAAATAAATTAATAAAAAGAGAACTGATGAACCGATTTGAATGCAGTTTGGTGCAAAATAATCCTCTCACTTAATCATAGCATACATACAGTGTAATTTGATAACACAACAGGAAATCGCCTGTATTTAGCTATCTCCTCCAGACCACGTGGTGAGCACATTTCAACAATAAATCGTTAATAAATCAAAATATCAATTGGGAGTTGGGGTATTTGCTACATAATTCAATTCTGCAATCATCAATATACAATTCTGCCAAATTTCAGAACAATCGGTGGAATACTTACCATCTTTTACACCGATTGTATTTGCGAGTTTGAAATTGCGTGGATGGCAACTTTCAATAACAAATTGCAAAGGGAGATCACTCTCAACTTTCGGATAACTATCAGATAACTCTGTCACTAATTTAGGTAAGAGGGCAAATTTTAATAAATTAATAAAAAGAGAACTAATGAACCGATTTGAATGCAGTTTGCTGCAAAATAATCCCCTATTGACTGTTTAATTTTGTCTGTAACTACATCTCATCTGCGCATGCACTGAAAGGGGCCGTAACTCAATCACTTAGATTTAAACCGAATAAATGAAATAAATTAATAAAAAGAGAACTGATGAACCGATTTGAATGCAGTTTGGTGCAAAATAATCCTCTCACTTAATCATAGCATACATACAGTGTAATTTGATAACACAACAGGAAATCGCCTGTATTTAGCTATCTCCTCCAGACCACGTGGTGAGCACATTTCAACAATAAATCGTTAATAAATCAAAATATCAATTGGGAGTTGGGGTATTTGCTACATAATTCAATTCTGCAATCATCAATATACAATTCTGCCAAATTTCAGAACAATCGGTGGAATACTTACCATCTTTTACACCGATTGTATTTGCGAGTTTGAAATTGCGTGGATGGCAACTTTCAATAACAAATTGCAAAGGGAGATCACTCTCAACTTTCGGATAACTATCAGATAACTCTGTCACTAATTTAGGTAAGAGGGCAAATTTTAATAAATTAATAAAAAGAGAACTAATGAACCGATTTGAATGCAGTTTGCTGCAAAATAATCCCTTATTGACTGTTTATTTTTGTCTGTAACTTCATCTCATCTGCGCATGCACTCAAAGGGGCGGTAACTCAATCACTTAGATTTAAACTGAATAACTGAAATAAATTAATAAAAAGAGAACTGATGAACCGATTTGAATGCAGTTTGCTGTAAAATAATCCTCTATTGACTGTTTAATTTTGTCTGTAACTAAATCTCATCTGCGCATGCGCTAAAAGGGGCGGTAACTCAATCACTTGATAAAAATTGAATAACTGAAATAAATCAATAAAAAGAGAACTAATGAACCGATTTGAATGCAGTTTGCTGCAAAATAATCCTCTATTGACTGCCTTTTTGCCACTATCTCTATAACCCAGTCACTCGATCAAAACATCCCAGGTCGAAAATATGTGATCCAAATTTAAGGACTCAAAATCCCAAATTTTAGAATCAGCCAAATTATTATTAAATGTCTCATCCTCTTTTGTTTGTCGTAGAAACATTCATCACATTTCATTGAATGGTGTAAATTAACCAAAAACGGAGAGTCTGGCATAATAAAGGAGAAAAGCTATAATCCCAATTTCTGACCTAGCCAGGTCGATAATCTGTGAGCCAATTTTAAGGACTAAAAAACCCAAATTTGAAAATCATCCAAAAAGTATTAAATGTTTGTTTACACCAGAAAGACATATATCNGTTGGAGTCAGCTTTACAAGAAACTACCATAACTTTACTGTAGACCAATACCCTGTTCAATACTCACCTCCAT